ACCCGGCCGTCTTTGTCTCCCCAGTGGCGATGCTCACACATCACACCAGGTACTCATTTGAGGCTGAGTCGACCTAGGGGAGGCCCAGGACCGGTTCAGATAATCGTCACCGGTGTTAGCCGTGAGCGGGAATCGAACCCGGGTGGCCAGGTTCGTAGCGCAGCGTAGCGTCAACCGCTACACCACCGCTCCCCACCATCACACAAACACGCTGCGTCACACCAAACACGTGCAGCAGCCGTTAAACTCGGGGGGTCTCATTCGCACGCAACTCCTTGTGTGAGCCATGGGCACGAAGCGAACATCTCGGCGCCTGGGAACGCGCGGTCGGACGGAAATCTGCGCTCCCACCCCTTCCCTAATCCCCTTCCAAGCCCCACGTTTCCTCCTCCCCACCCCAATCCCCGTTCCCCCGTGCCTGTCCATTTGTTTTGCTTTGTTCCACCCCCTCTCCCCCCCCCCCGGCCGCTATCCCCGATGGGGAGATTGCGACTCATTTACCGAATGCCATGTAGGCAACCCTGCCCACGTGCCCACGTGCGTGCGACAGAGCGGGGGAGCGGTAGTGTGGTGGTTAGTGCGCCGCGCTACGAATCGACTTTTGATTCCATGGTCAATAGCAGCGACGACTGTCTGAGCCGCTTCTGGATCTTCCCTAGGTCGACTCGGCCTTTAAATGAATACCTGGTGCGATGTGTAAGCATCGCCGCTCGGGAGACAAAGGCGGTCGAGCGTGATGCTGGCCACCCACCTCCCTCGCGTGCCGTGCCGGCCTTCATTGGTGCTCGCTAACAGCACTTGCCCCAACAGCATGTTAAGGCTATACGGGGGATCTTTGTCTTTGTATTATCGCGCCAGAACCAGGAATGTCTACGTCCAGGACGGCGACCTTGACAAAGAGGACCCTCCTGGGAAAGCCGGGAACAGGTGTCAACAGCTCGCAGCAGGGTTCCTTGACAGTCAAGCCAGTCTCTTTTTAAGTGGCCATGGTGGCTCGCTGTAAAAAGCCCCCCTCCCCCCCCGATGTGACATCCGCGCCCCACCTGGAACGACGGTGCTGGCGGTGGTCACCGTGGAAAGCGGCGGCGGCGTCAAGAAGGGGGGTGGGAGGAGGAGGGGGGGGAAGTCGGGGAGCTTCTCGCAGTTGAGGTTCACCCGGCACGTTGTCCACCGTGCCGCTGGAATCAACCCGGCCTCGTGTGATGCCACCGCGCGCAACGCTGCCCCTGCAGGGCGATCGATTTTGTAGATACCCCACTGATATCTAAAGGACCCTATTATTTTCTTCCCAACGGGGCGATTGAATATTCCGAAAGGCGATGGCTCCGTATATGGGCAGAGTGGAACCGGGAGGGTTTTGAAATATTTAATGAGCGTACGGTATTCAGATTGATGCGAGACACGTCGAGACTTTGAAGTTAAATGTTACATCTTGACTTAAAGCTTTCGTGACTGCAGGAATTAATATTTTTGGGGTCTTTCGGTAAAGTCACGTAGATAGGTTCGAATAAAATATATCTACGTGACTTTACCGAAAGACCCAAAGAATAAGTTAAATGTTGTTTTCTACATTGGGGTATTATAATTCTAATATGCTTATTTACCCGGGAAAGCCTCGATAAATCTCAAGACTCCTTTTTTAAGAAGGGTCCTGCTCAATTTTTGGCAGTCGGGGGCAATGTTGCTGCTGCTGCTGCTGCGTACGTGGAGCGGTGGTGCAGCGGTTAGCACGCTGCGCTACGAAACCGGCGTCCTCGTGCGATTCCCGCTCACGGCTAAGACCAGTGACGATGATCTAAACTGGCTTTGGGCCTCCCCTATATTTATTCAGCCTCGAACGAGTACCTGGAGTGGTGTGTAAAAACATCGCCGCTGGGGAGACAAAGGCGGTCGGGCGTGGTGCTGGGCACCCACCCCCTCGTGTGCCGTTCCGGCCTTCATAGGTACTCGCTAACACCACTTGCCCCAACAGTATGTTAAGGCTATACGGGGGGTTTTTGTCTTAGTTTATTTTTGTGATCCCAGCTGAGTAATGGGCATTGGGATGTTTGGCCAACGCCCTTTACGCCGCGCTATGGGAAACAACTCAAGAAGCCGGAGACTTCAAACTCCACAGAGGCAGACGTCCGAGTCGGGAATCTAAATCCCCCAGGGGCTTCTTGCTGTAAGGCGTGATCATCTTCATCATCATCACCGCCGCCGCCACCTTCCTTTGCCGCCCCGTCGCCTTGAAGTGCACCTAACCTGGCACCGGTGTTGCGGTGACGTCACCGCCACTTTAAGTGGCGAACGGCGGCTGTTGGTGTCAGTGTTGCCCTTGTTTGTTCACGTGTTCTTACTCCAAGAGTGTGATTTTTGGCCGAAGGCTGCGCATCTGAAGTATGCGGTATTTATTTTATTTTCCTCCAGCGCAAGAGCAAACAGATTCCCTGTTTCAAATGGACATTTCTTTAGGGAATCTGTGCATGATCATTTAATTGAAAACGATGTTAATTGTGTGTGCAGTGCAATGCATTTCCAGGTGCAAGCATTGTGTGCACACGGCACGAGAGATGACTCCAACGCGTCGAATCGCCCTAACTAGTTGCCCTTTCGTTATACGCAGTGAAGTTTAATGGTGGTTTAATTAGGCGGCGAGAAATCACGGGACCAGGATGCGTCTCATTTTGCAAGAGTTACCTGGGGCATTGGGCTGCCAGTTTGGAACCACGATTGCTGCTCTGCGTGTTTCTGTGTAATCCCAATGAGGGCATTTGCAGTGTAATTTTCGAATTTGCCAAATCTAGACCCTGACGCTGGCACACAATTGCTTAACTCTTGCGGATATCGGTCAGGGATTTTTTTTTGGGCTGTGAATCAGGCGGGCACGTATGATTATTATTATTACGGTTATTGCACACCGCAGTATTTACGAGGATAGGCCGCTGGATTCGAACAGTGAACCACTGCAAAGAGCGGCGAATGTGCATCACAATCTTTAGAGACATTTTGTCTTCCAATTGCAAAAAAAACAGAACATTCTTCAACCACTTGAATCAGGCCCAGGGAATATTATGTAAGATGCGTATGTTGTATATATTTGCGTGCGTGTTTGCTTTTTTAGTTTTTTTTTATTGTAAATGTTACTAATATAATTGAAAAATAATTGCTCCACCCGTGATTTAATCCAAGCGTGCGCATCGGTGCAAGATTCACATCGGACAACGGGGCCCCTGAGGTCTGGGGTTTTGTTTATTGGGGTGGCGGTATAAGTGGGGATCAGTGCGGGGGGGGGGAGGTTGCAGGGAGGGGCCCACAACCCCCACTCCCCATCATCCCTCCTCATTCTCCCGCATGACGATCACGGCGGCGGCGGTGGTGATGCCCAGAATCGCAATCAACACCCACGGAAGCGTCCCAAAAGAGACGCCTCCTCCGCCTTCCCGCTGTCAAATTAAAAAACCATCTCACCCCTGGCGCATTTGAATATGAGGGTCGCCGCGCTCACGCCAGCGATTTGTGAATGCAGAACGAGGTGGGGGGGTGGTGGGGGATCGGAGGGGTATGATGATGGGCGCGTTTCGTTCGTGGGGTTGTTTGGCCCCCCGGGGGCAGATGGAATATCGAGGTGGTCTCCGGATTATGTTCACAAGTCGCGCACGGCTCACGCTGTCGCGTTCACGCGCACAGCACGCGACGGCGCTGGGCGCTACTTGCTCAAACTCGCGCGCACGTGCGTGTGCGTGCATGTGTAAACTTCTTTCGCGCCGTACGTAGCCAACCATGCCACTCGTGTGCGGAAAAATGCACCGCGCGGTGTTGCCATCGGTGGTGCCATAAACGTGCGATTACTCTGTTCTTGGTATTCTTTTTTTAGTACACACACCTATATGATTTTGTTTTATGTGTGTGTGTGCTCTATTTCGTTGTTGTTGTTATAATTATTCATTCGCCTTCTCTTTTTTTATCGTGTGTCGAGACGCATGGGAGTGGTGCCGGACGTGTAATTGTGGGTGGTTGGGGATGGTGGGTTTCTTGGTAAAGCCATGAAATCAACGGGGGAGCGAGCGCTGATGGAATGGAGAGGGGAGGGGCGTCAGGGTGGGGGTGGTGTGGTGTGTAGCGGTGAGCGGTACGAACCTGGCGACCCGGGTTCGATTCCCGCTCACGGCCAACACCCAGTGACGATTATTTGAATCGGTCCTGGGCCTCCCCTTGGCCACCCATCCGCTCGTGTGCCGTGCCTGCCTTTATAGGTGCTCGCTAACTGCACTTGCCCCAAAAGTCTGTTAATGGTATACGGGGGATCTTTGTCTTTGCTGTGGTGTGTGAGCCCCGCCTCCCACCCTCGCCGCAGCGTGGATTGCCCCAAATTGAACCGCCCACGAAATCCCACCAGATTTTTTTTATATTTTTTTAGGGACAAGCCACGAGATAGATGGGCGAGCGAGTGCCGACGGAGTTAGGGGTTTGGGGGGGGGGGCTTTATGGTGGCGGGGGGGGGGGGTCAGCCCCCCCACGCTGTCCCCTGGTGACTGCGCCGTCTCGCCCCGTGTCATGTGGAGCTCGCCCAAAGTTGCGCCGGGAAACATCACAAAGTGAACTTCCCGCGAAATCAGTAAATACGATAATTACTCAAAACACCGGGCGTTACTGTGCACGCGCGCGCGTGCGTGTGTGCGTGAGTGTGCACGCGTGCGCGTGAGTGTGCACGTGAGTGTGCACGTGTGTGCGTGAGTGCGTGCGTGTGTGCGTGAGTGAGTGTGCACGTGTGTGCGTGAGTGTGTGCGTGTGTGCGTGAGTGTGCACGTGAGTGTGCACGTGTGTGCGTGAGTGTGCACGTGTGCGCGTAATGCACTTTAAGTACGGAAGATGGACTCCTGACCCTACTGGTCTACGTGCTGGGTGCTCCGCGAGTGGTTAATGGCCGTGTTGTTTGTTTTGTTCTTGCCTTCCCCCCACCCCCCGTGTCTCTGTGTGTGCGTGCGTCGTTGCGCGCGATGTGTTTGCGATGCTCGCAGGCTGTTCGAGACGCACCCCGAGTGCAAGGATTCCTTCTTCCAGTTTCGCGACATCGAGGATGTGCAGCGGCTTCGGCTGAGCAAACAGCTCCGCTCCCACGGGCTCAGGCAAGGGGCTCAGCCGCGAAAGCGTTCACGGATTCCACCCCCCTCTCCTCTCCCTTCCCTACCCCTCCACCTTCCCTACCCCTCCACCTTCCCTACCCATCCACCTTCTCTCCTCTCCACCGCCCGCTCCGATCAGACACGACGCGAAACGATGCCAACGCAAACCCGCTTCGTGTCCGCTCTCTCCCCTCTCTCTCTCTCGCCCTCCCTCCCTCTCGCATCGTCACAGTGCTGGATCACGTGATCCACGGTTTGTGAATCGGAAATGCAGGGCACAACGTGGGATCACGTGATCCACGGTTTGTGAATCGGCAGTGCAGGAGGCAATGTGGGGTCACGTGATACACGGTTTGTGAATCGGAAATGCAGGGCACAACGTGTGATCACGTGATAGACGGTTTGGGAATCGGCAGTGCAAGGGGCAATGTGGGGTCACGTGATACACGGTTTGTGAATCGGAAATGCAGGACACAATGTGGGATCACGTGATCCACGGTTTGTGAATCGGCAGTGCAGGAGGCAATGTGGGGTCACGTGATACACGGTTTGTGAATCGGCGGCACAGGAGGTAGTGCTGGATCACGTGATCAACGGTCTGAATCGGCGGTGCAGGTGGGATCACGTGATCAGTGGTCTGGCCATGGTGGCCGCAGTCACATTGCAAACTCTCTTCGTTTTCCATCGAATTGACACGTGACGATTCACTCATTCATCAGCCTGCGAATCAGTGTCGCAATTCAGGACCCAGATTTAATTGAAGAATCGATCGTTGTAGTTTTTTGTCGTTGGGAGTCTCTCGTTTGTGCTCACTGTCAAGCACGTTCCGTCTTCATCATTCATCCCATTCATCGTCGTCAGCCGTAATCAATCCACTGCTACACGAAGGATTCCCCTGAGCCGTCGCCATCTCTCGCGGTTCTACGACGCAAGAATCCACCCAGCACCCGCACGCACGCGAGCTGATTTAGTTTTTTCCGCGAGCTGAATAAATCCTTGCTGAATGGATGGCCTCTATGTTGGGTTCCACTCACATCTAACGTAGCCTTGTAGCAGCATTCACACGCCGCGTTTCACGATTGGCAACATTCATGGCTTTACACTAACGATGCACGCATTGAAGCGCATGTGTGATCATCGACTTTGTTACGCAAATCTTCATCATCATCAAACATCATGTTCATATTTTTCGTCTTGGTTCTTTCGGTAAAGTCACGTAGAAGGGAAGTAATAAAATAATAAAAATAAAACATTATTTTATTACTTCCCTTCTACGTGACTTTACCGAAAGAACCAAGAAGATGAATCCCTGCAGTCACGAAAGCTTTAAATCGAAATCATGTTCATATTTTTCTTCTTGCTTCTTTCGGTAAAGTCACGTAGAATGGAAAAAATAAAATAAAAAAATAAAACATAAAATAATATAATATCATGTTCAAAACTGAGGCTCATGGGTCTATGTGAATGACCCATGCTTTCCACTATTCATGATCTCTAACGCCTCTCAGTGCGTCGTCCAGTCCAGCTACCCACGTACCCCGCAGCTGATTTCCTTTCCTTTTCCTCCGCTTCTCGTCGGATGTTTACTCGCGCGGAATCCACTTCATCACTTCTCTAGCTGAACCACCGACGATGTGGAGTAGCGGGAGGCTACCCCGGCGTTTCGTTCGACTCCCGAGTCATTTCCCGCCGCTCGCATCAATTCTCCGTTGGCGCCTCTCCGTTTGTCGTCTTTGTCTCGCTCTCTCAGCACTCCCTCCCCACCCTTCTGTCGCACCACGTCAGCCGAGGCGTTCGGCCCTCTCTTCTCGTCCTTCCTGAGCGAATGAAAGCGTCCAAGATGAGACGTGGGAGAGAAATAAAGGCAGAAATGACGCGGCGGTAAAAATGAGACGAAAACAATGATCGATTCTCAAATCAAATCGCGACCCCCCCCGAATTATGGCAATTTACTGAATTGCTGTGGGGAAGGGTTTCGTCTTCCGGCGTCGTTATTACGATCGTCGTTGGCCATTCTCAGTCGATAGCTTTCGTGATGGCGCCTTTGTGCTGATGCCAGCACATTTAATCGATCCTCTGCTGCTGCCTCTGCTGCTGCCGATGCTGCGATCCATTTGTAGGCTCCGCGCAATGCATCGCCGTTGACCGTGTGGGTGATGCGTTAGATTCTAAATCCCCCCACACCTCCCCACAAGCAGACTCCCGACGCAAATTTCCTGACAGTTACCGAAAACCAACGTTTGGGAGTTGGAAGTGACCGCTACGCTCTTCCCCAAAGATTTGCGTCTTTCTTTCCCCCCCCCCACCCTCGCGATCGTGAGCACATTTTTCATCCAATTACAGATTTTCATTGAGTTTCCCCCCTTAGCCTTTAGCGGAGCTTTCCAATTCCCGCTTCGTTAGCTTTCAGTCGATGTAATACGAAGGGACGCCACTTATTTAGGGTCCGTGGAGGGTTAGGGGGTCAGGGTTTATGGTTACGGTTAAGGGGTTCAGCAGTGGTAGTGCCCAAGGCCACTTTTCATGCCCAGCTTCCACGGCGGGGACTGTGGTCTCAGCTAAGAGGCTCGTGAATTTTTCTGACCTAAAAAAAAATTTGGATGCAAATCACCGTGCAAATTCAACCTCCATTTCTCGTTGACAGCCACCTCACGAAGCTTCTTATGAAGTTGCTGCTCCAGTGGACTTGTGCATCACTTAATAGGTTAATTATAGATAGCGGATTGATTTTTTTTTTACTCCTGTCAGATGGAAAAAGAGGCGTCTCGATATTTTGGCAGTCTGGTTTCTTGATTAATTATACAATCGTGTTCAATTTGCCTGATCTCACCCAATCTCAGTAGCTCGGCAGGTTCAAGGCTGGCTACTACTTTGGTAATTGGCCACCGTCAAAGTACTAATGGGGATAGGAGTGGTGGCACAGTGGGTACACACACTACGCTGTGAACCCAGAAATCTCAGTTCAATTCCTGGCCATGGCGAACATCAGTGGTCAGTGAAATCTGAATCGATCCTGGGCCTCCCCTCTTCACCAACCTGCCCTGATCAGTGTGGTGAAGTAAGCTCAAACTACCCGCACGGTACGGGGAGAACTTCATCCAGCAGTGAATTAACAATAAGCCGTTAACAATAATTATTCGTTTCGTTTAATTAGTACTAAAATGCTTGTCGCTGAATTGCATTTTCTCCGATGAATCGGATGGAGATGATTTAAGTAGGCGACTAAATGCGTGCCTATATGAAAACCACGGATGAAGTCGCGCGCGGATTCCATCTTTAGTGAACCACAACACTTGAATCTAAATGCGAAACTGCTCTCTTTGATAAAAAAAACAATATTCGCCGGTCCCCCTCCCATACTCTATGGTTGTATTCGTTATGGCTCAATCTCGGCACTGAACTTAACCACGTACACGCGGGGTCCGTTCCTAAACCTGAGACCGCCCTTAAATACCTAAACCTGAGACCGCTCTTAAATACCTAAACCTGAGACCGCTCTTAAATACCTAAACCTGAGACCGCTCTTAAATACCTAAACCTGAGACCGCTCTTAAATACCTAAACCTGAGACCGCTCTTAAATACCTGAGCCCAGGGTGGCAATGACCTGGCCAACCCTCGCCCTCCCCCAAAGGAAATCACCCCCCCTCCCCACCGCCTGCTCTGATCAGTCTGGTGTACCTGATACCGTCAATGCGACTGGCAATGCCGTCCAGAATTTCAGGATGTCGCAATGTGATGATGTGAGAGAGGATGTGGAATTTTTTACAATATATTTTTAATACGAGCAAAAAACAATTCCGCTGGCGCCTGGCTGGCAAGCGCAGCGGCGCGCAACCGAGAAAAGGAAACCACACGGCGTTTGTTTTATCGAATCAAAATTCAATTTGTACGAGACTCCACGTGAGCAAACAAACAAGAAAAGGGCTTTGCAATTAGGCGGAATAATAACAACAGGGGGTGCATTCCGAACGCCCCTGGAATTGTTAACGAATATCGGCAGCGGCGACTCCAATCCCACCACCCGGCTTCTGAACATTGCACGCGAATGAACGGGCATTGGACCGCGGAAGGTTGAATTTCGCTGTTTGTAAAAAAAAATGAGGCGTTTCCTTTTAATAACGCTACAAATAATCTGCTTAATTGATCAATGTAAGGAAACAATATTCAACCACCGTCCCCCCCCCCCCCCCCCAATAAAATGAAATAAGTGAGCCGAAATTAAGCGGCCGCTTAATTCAACCACAATAACTGCCGTTGGGGGATTTGGGCCGCGTTAAATTTTGCAAAGCGGCACGCAAGTTTACCGCTGTGGCCACGACTGCTACCACTGCTGCTGCTGCTGTTTCCGTACCGTCGGGACTTAGCCTCGGCTTCAATTGGCCACTGCCAGAGGTGTCGAGACGTCACCCCACTCGCGCTCCTCGAAACGATATTGGGTGCTCGCAATGCCCCCCCCCCCCGCCCGCCTCCCCACGCACCCCGCTGTGTTGAACACCGAGAGTCAACTGAGAGTCAAGTGGGGTGTTCACAGGGCAACGGGCGCAAATGAATTGCCACCCGATACGAACGTCGCCATTTCCACCTTTACCTTATTAGCTTATCTGTAGTTGGGTTTGTTTCTCTTCCGCTCCGAACGCGCCAGCCCCCCCCCCCCCCCCACCAAAGCACTTACATTGCAGGATATTGCTGAGTTGTCACGCGTTCACGATTGCATTAGACTGAGTAACGATACGCGTGCCAGCTCCATCCATTCATCCATTTCTGTTTTGTTGTTGTTGTTGTTGTCGTTCCAATACTTCGACCTGCGCTAATGGAGGCCGTGGCGTAGCGGGTGTGACGCGCCCACGCTCGCAATCCGTTCAGTCAAAACAGCGGGGGAAGGTTTCTTAAATCCCTCACCAACCCCCCCCCTCCCGCCTTACACACCACCACCTCTGTCTACTCAACCGGCAAGTATAAATGGGTACGGCGCAGTCAAGGTCTTGTGCGGTGTGGTAAAGT